CATGGGGGACATGCCCTTGCTTACCGGAGTCGGAGGCCACCAGGATGCCCCTGTCAGCCACCCAGCACAGGTCGGCGACCCCCGCCTCGGTCTGCACGCCGGCGGTGCAGAAGCCCTCGCTGGGAGCGCGCCGGGGCTCGGCGAACACCCACAGCGAGCCGGTCCAGCAGCGCCCGTTGAGCCCGGAGGCGCCCAGCAGCAGGGCCCCGTCTGCGGGAGAGAGAGACACAGGAGAGGGGAGGCGCGGGGAGAGGAGCGGGGAAAGGAGCGGGGAGAGGAGCGGGGAGAGGAGCGGGGAGAGGAGCGGGGAGCCCCCGGGGAACAGCCGAGCCCCCCGCCCCGCTACCTGCGCGGTAGTGCGCCCGCTCCAGGTGCCGCTCCATGCAGGCGGGCGCGCTGGGCGGGATGTTCCACTCGGGGGCGGCCGCGGGTTCCCCATCCACCGAGGCGGCGGGAGCGGCGGGGTCGGGCGGGGCGGGCGGCGGGGCCGCCTGGGCCAGGGCCAGCGGCAGCGGCGGCGGCGGCAGCGGCTCCTCCATGGCGGCGGAGCGGAGCGGAGCGGAGCGGGGCTGAGGGGAGCGGAGCGGGGCTGAGGGGAGCGGAGCGGGGCTGAGGGGAGCGGAGCGGAGCGGGGCCGGCCGCGCCCCCACGTGTCTCCCGCCGCCGCCTCCTCTCGCGAGAGCGCCCGCCCCGTGCCCGCCCCCGCCGCGTTCTCGCGAGAGCCGCCATCTCAGCGCCTTTGGCGGCGGCGGCGGTCACCGCACGGGCGCTCACTGCCGCCGCTCCTCACGGTGCTCGCCGCTTTTCTCCGTGCTCCTGCCATGCTGTCCCGCCTCGTCCTGCGCGCCGGTGAGCCGCGGGGAGCGCCGCTTCTCCGGGGGAGGAGGGAGCGGGGTGGCGGGCGGGGGTGCGGGCCGAGCTCTGCCCTGACGCGCTCTCTGCCCTCTTGTCCCCTCAGCCCCCGCCGCCCTCAGGGCGCTGCCGCCGCCCGCCGCTGTGGGGTGAGTACCGGGSAGCCAGCCCCGCCGAAACCGGCCCGTGGTGGTGCTTAAACAGCGTTCTGCTGGGGTTTGGGCTCGGATTTTTTGTCATTCATGTAAAATAGGGACGGTGGGRAGGAACTTGTGGAGGTTATYTAGTCCCACCCACTTCCTGAAAGGAGGTGTGGCCAATAAATGCCAACTGCTTCGAATCGCGGAATGGTTTGGGTATGGAGGGATTTTAAATCTYATTCCCTTCCCCTAGAGCAGGTCYARCCTGGCCTTGGACAMTTCCAGGGATGGGACAGCTTATTATCACCAGTTACCTATTTACTTAATTGGAAATGTGTTTGATTTCATCTGAGGGTGGGTTTGGGGACTATTTCTGTCTAGTTTTTTAATAAGAATCATAATTGAAACTATCTCCTTGTTTATAGGGTGTTGCACGCCACAAGACCACTGCACACAACTCAGCAGAGTTTGGCTCCTGTGTCACCTCTRCCCGAGAAGGGAGGAGAAGTTCGTCATGGTTTGATCCCTGAGGAGTTTTTCCAGTTTCTGTACCCTAAAACAGGAGTTACAGGTTAATATAGGCTTTTACCATTTTCAGTTATGTTCATGTAGGTCTGTCCACCAGTTCTGGCTGCTGAAAAGGTAAAATATTAGTGAAAACTAATATTTTTGTGTGTGGGTTGTGAAGAACAAGCCAGTGCAGCACAGGGAATTTTGCATGTTTCTGAATGAGCACAAGCAGCACGTCCCATGCCAGGTACAAGTTGCTTCCATTTCGGGTGAGATTCCTCCTTGCACCTTTCCCAGGTGGAATTGTGACTTTGCTCTTGGTCCTATTGAAACAGAACCCTTCTTCCTGATCTTTAAACTCATTCCTCCCTCTTAGGTATTTGAGCTTATTGAGTCTATTTAAGCCTTATACAARTAATGCTGCTTTATTTTTTCTGCAGGGCCCTACATGCTGGGCACTGGCCTCCTGCTTTACTTTCTTTCCAAGGAGATCTACGTCATTAACCACGAGACAGCAGCAGCTGCCTGCATATTGACAGTCATCATTTATGGCATCAAGAAGTTTGGGCCTAGTGTTGCAGCTTTTGCTGACAAACTTAATGAGGTAATAAAGGAGCCATAACTTGATATTGTAGTTGTTRGTAAGGAGTGATTTTGTGAAAGTACAAATGGGTAGGGTTAGGTGGAATATCGGGCAGGAATTGTTCCCTGTGAGKGTGGGCACCCTGTGCAGCTGGGGCTGCCCCTGGATCCCTGGCAGTGCCCAAGGCCAGGCTGGACATTGGACTGGGAGCAACTTGGGACAGTGGAAGGCGTCCCTGTCCATGGCAGGGGTGGGATGAGCTGAGCTTTAGGGTCCTTCCAAGCCTAACCAGTCTGTGATTCCATGATTGATTGTGAGCCCTCATTCTTCTCTCCTGGCAGAGAGCTGTTCACAGACATTTCTCACAGCTTAGTGACAAGAATCAGAATTAATTGCAGATTAATTTTGAAGCATGGGTTTCTCTCTTTTTTCCTTCAGGAGAAAATAGCCACAGCTCAAGCCATGAAGAACGAGGCCATCCAGACCCTGCAGACAGCCATTGAACAGGAGAAGAAGGAGCAGTGGAGGGCTGAAGGCCGCAGTTATCTCTTCGATGCCAAACGGGTGAGCAGGGCTGGTTCTGCTGCTGAGCCCGGGGCAGCCTGCCCTGCTGGGCTCCTGGGACTGCTGCTGCACAGCCTGTCTGCTGCTGCTTGGTGTTGTGGCCACATGTGAGCCTTTGTGTCCTGCTGTGTGTGCAGAACAACATTGCAATGCTGCTGGAAGCCAACTACAGGGAGCGGTTACTGATGGTGTACAACGAGGTGAAGAAGAGGCTGGACTATCAGGTGGCCATGCAGACCCTGAAGAGGCAGAAGGAGCAGGACCACATGATCCAGTGGGTGGAGAAGAATGTTATTCAGAGCATCACACCTCAACAGGTACTTGCTGGGTTTTAGCTGCTTTACACTTCAGCCTGCACAGAGATTTACTGTGCAGGGGTCCTGGAGGTGGAGGGGAAMCTGGGATAGTGGGAGGTGTCCCTGGCCCAGGGCTGGGGTGGGAATGAAYGGGCTTTGAGRTCCCTTCCAACCCAAACCATCTGTGAATCTGTGCTTTAGTGCAGGTCCTTGTTTGCATGTGAATTTCTGATTTCATGARCTGTAATCCCTCTTAATAACTTAARGATCTAAAATAGATTATCTAAAATGGATTTGAATGTCTGTTGTGCTGGTTGGAATGTCTTCTGAAGGCTGTTTGCTGTCTCTTGCAGCAGAAGGACAGCATTGCCAAGTGCATCCTGGACCTGAAGGCGCTGTCCAAGAGYGCCCAAGCAGCTGTGTGAGCACGTCTGAGCCCACTGACCTGTCCCAATGCCTACTGTTGGAAACTCTATGACTCTAAAATCTCATTAAACAAAGAAAAAACAACCCCTCTGCTGTCTTTCACTAGTACCAGTCAGTGCCTGTTTGTTTTTGAAGTCACTGGATGGGTCACACCCAGCACTGCAGSTGGTTTGTGGTGGGGGATCAGTTGAAACCACAGCCTGTGGGATCCCCCCTGTTTGGTTATGAACATTTCCAGAGGTACAGAACTGCACAGAGAACAGTTGTGGTGCCAGACCTGATCCCTGGGTTAGAATTCTGTGTGATGACACCCCTGATACCTACTGTCCTTTAACCATGTTCTAAAGTCAGGATGGTTTGTGTTCCCATTCACCTGGCCCCATGCTTGGAGGGGTTCTGAATGTCCTTGTTTTCTAAAGGACATGGAAACCCCCTTCACCATAAAGCCTCGTGTAGTGTTAAAAGTGTTCAGTTCTGGCAAAAGARTGATCAGGCAGGAAATGTGTCAAAAGCTAATGAAAAATTTGGCTTCATCTGACCTTGTCAGTACTYAGTTTAAAACAGGGAAATGGGTAGATTTAATCTAGAGGGGTTTTTCTGGATTTTCATAAGTCTTAATTTGCTTTTTTAGGAAGTTTTTCCCTGAAGGAATTTGTTAAAAATCCCAGCAAAGCACACACAAATAATCTGAGTGCTGGGATGTGATTTAYACAGTCCATAAACCCCAGTGAGCAGACTGGGGGGGTGCCTGCAATCCCACTCCTCAGTGGGACTGAGGAATACAATTTTCTACACTTCTAAGTACACCAGATCACTAAAAGGGTGTTCTTCAGAGGCAAGAACCTTATTTCAAGCCAAGCTAAGCTGAAGTTGCCTTACTTTTTTTTAGATTAACAGTTTGAGAAAAAGCAGGTGTCTTTCATTGTTTCCTGTTTTGTGTTCATTTAAATAAAAAAAAGTGAACTTGCTTAACTTCCACAATTGTGCAAGTCCCCATCTGATTGACATTTGAGCTTGTAAGTGGTGTGACAGATTCTTCTCGCMAAGCAAGCGGTTAAACTGGTGTGCTGGCACTGGGGGAGCTTTCCAGCATCACTTCCATGCTGGGAGGTAAGATGGAGCTCTATCATTGTTTCTTTTATTGCAAACACAGCCCTGTGAGGCTCAGTGTGGGAAATTGGGAGTTTCATGGTTTGACCCCTCTGGAATGTGGGCAACAATGGGATGCAGTGGGAAAAGTGGCAGCAGCAGAGAGCAGGGTGTTTATTTTCATGCTGTTGTAATATTTTTGCGTTATTTTCATGCAAACCATGTGGTGAGAGGTATCAGCATAGGGATTGTGTAGCARAATATCTGTTACAATCTAAGATTTCACCCCCAAATTTGAGAAGAAAGTTACTGTTCCTGCTTTAGTGGGAAAAGTAATTTTAACTTGAAAAGGAAAAACACCAAGGGAGGGATTTTCAAAGCTGCTTCTGATTATGAAAATGTTCATAGGGTTTTAACTGCTGAAAAAAATCCTGTGGGTGCTTTTTAGTTATTAAATGCTCTCCATTTTCTGGGTGGAGGAGGCACAGAGCCCATCAAGGAGCAGTGAACCCATATGTGTAAGGAACACGACCCTGGGAAATAGGGTTGGTGCTGGAGAGTGCCAGGTTTGAGGGGTTTCTGTAGGATTTCTAAGACATAGATAAAAACTAAATCAAGGCTTTGAGTTAAAGAGGGTGGCAGGTTTCTTTGGCTCATGTCTATATATGTATGAATATTTAACTTCTTCTCCTCCTTTCAGTTTCTCTTCCTGTCAGTGCTCTGAGAGAATGGGAGGCTCTCCCTCAAAAGGAAATGAAGGTATTTTATTTTAAGGAGTATCCTTGGCTGCAGTGYTCTGGGCTGAGTGCTGTCCTGGCCCAGCAGACGTGGGGGTGTTTGGGGAAGCACTGCATGGCTGCCAGAGGATGCCCTGACACAGTCATTATCTGAACCACTGCATTTTCCTGTCTGCTGCTTCCACTTTCACACAGCCTGTACAGACACCTCCATGTGGTTTTAGTTGCTTGTGGTATTACTGGAGAAAAAAGACACATTTTAGAACAATTTTGTGATGATTTTTTTTTTTCTATTGCAGAACTCATTACCACTACCACCACTGTTCCCACCACTGTGCCCACCACTGTTCCCACCACTGTCCACACCCCTACAGAGAATTTCAGAGCTGCAGAAGTCAAATGCTGGATTAATAAGTAAATGCTGCACCTTTATTTCCTGACTTGACACCCAAAGTTCCCTGTGACTGCAGCCTCCTTCTGCAAGGGAAGGGTTTTGTGTCACATGTTTAACATTTTGGGGGTTTAGAAGTCTGATTAGAATTTCCTGGTCTGTGCACAGCATGGGTGATTCCTGGGGATACTCCATGCAGATACACACCAGTTAATCTCACAGGGCTTGGGATAAATGTGTTACACTCCATGMAGTTTGGTGAATTTGAGCACTACTGATGCTTCAACCCCTCTGTTGAAACTGGGAATTCTGACGGGATTTTCTGTGTATCACCAGCATTGAAATACTGTACATGTCCCTGGCCTTCCTCTCTGGCATCCTCCTGACTGTCCTGGCTTTTGCAATCATCTTCCTCTACAGGAAAAGTAAGTGGCACAGTTGAGGAAATAACAGCAGGGTGGTGGTAACTGCAGAAGTTACGTAGAAAGTGGCTGAAATTGTCTGCCTTGAATAAAAGTGTACTTTGATGAGCAGCTCATTCCTGGCAGTAACTCCTTGGGAATCATCCCTGGGGTTGTTTGCAGGAAAGAATTCATTTTGCCACTGATGAATGGTAGAGGTTTTTGTTGGTTGTGGGTTTTTCTCCATCCTGGCCACACTGAATTGCTCAGTCCCTTTTATCCTGGCCTCTTCCAGCAGCTGGGCAGGGCTTGGGCAGCCCAAAGTGCCCCCTTTGCAGTGCAGATTTCACACATTACCTATCTGTCACATCCCCCCTGGCTCTGCTGTCCCCAAACACAGTGCAAACAGCTGAGACTGGGATCCCTTTCCATCCTAGATTTTAGGAGARCCCACCAAAATCTACAGGAGGAAACTTTCTCCCAGATGGCGSCTGAGGAATCTGCTAGGAACACCCAGGTAAATGTCACAACTGTTATTTCTAACACTTTATGCAGATATTTCACATTCTTGTCAGTGTGGTAAATATTAATTGGGTTGGGAGGGAGAAAAGTTGATTTTGAGACTTGACTGTTACTCAGCAGTTCTTTGACAAGGAACTTCAAGGGTTCTGGGGCTTAACTAAACCACTTACCAGACAAGTTAGGAGAAATCTTTTTAAAGGGGAAGCATTTCTGCAATTTCTGTGATRTTAATTCTTTGAAAGCTCTGGCCTGAGCAGTGGGATGAAGCAGCATTTACTGATTTCCCACAGCAGGGACACACAGTTTGTGGGGTGGGGTGTGAGGACAAGTTGAAAGTGAGGAATTSCTGATGCCCTGAGTGCCTGTGCTCTGTGTGATGTTTGTGCTTTGTCCCTTCCCCAGAGTGAGGTGACCTACAGCACTCTGGTGTTCCAGCGGGACCGGGCACCACAATCTGCGTGAGGAGGAATTTCCCAGTGAATRAAAATGTTCCCCATTTTGGACATCAGGAGGCACCACAGCAGGACCTGCAGCGCTCTGGGAACACCACCACTGCCTGGTGAAACACAGCTCCTTTTGTAGGTACCAGGGGAAAGCCTCCTGTTCCCAATGGCTGTGGGCAAATTGAGGTTTTCTAGACAGGATTTCCTCATCTGTGGAAATCTCCCTGCCCTTGTAAAGTTTCCGTTTGTGAAAACTACCAGAGAGGATTGAGAAATGAAAATGTTCCTCTGCATCTATCCACATCTGTGCCATTGGGTTTCCCCTTTCTGTCACCAACTATAGCATTTTCCATGGGATTTTTGATTGCCGAGTGCTCTGATTAGTTATTTTCGGTAATTGAAGTGAGGATAATAAAATGTTTTTATGCAAATCTCTGCTYCCTGATTGGGTCCCATAAAAGAAATCCACAATCACAGTGTGACGGTCGAAATCTCTGGAAATGTTCATTAATACGTTATTACCCACAGTGTTCAAAGTAGAACGTGTAAAATTTCAAAACAATTCCCTCCTCATGAGCTGGGAGCGAGTTCACACGGGTGCCTGCAGGGGAGGGAGAGGGCGGGATGAGCACA